AGATCGTGCGTGTCGAAGCGCTCTCGCTGTGGCGCCGTGCGATTTTCTTGCTCGCGAAACGGCTTTTGGAAGTTGTCTCGTGGTGTGCGCGCCTGCTTTCGCAATCCCGCGGTCCCGGGTTCGATTCCCCCCTGGTCCGCGGCAGCTCCGGCTTGAAAATCGCAGCTTTTAAGTACAAACGTAGTACGCGGAGCGTGCTCCTGCAGCTCCGGCTGGAAAATCGCAACTTTTAAGTACAGACGTAGTATGCGGAGCGTGCTCCCGCAGCTCCGGCTGGAAAATCGCAACTTTTAAGTACAAACGTAGTACGCGGAGCACACTCCCGCAGCTCCGGCTGGAAAATCACAACTTTTAAGTACAAAAAATAGTACGCGAAGTACATTCCCACAGCTCCGGCAGCACTTGCTCAGAGCAACTTGCGCAGAGCAACTTGCGCAGAGCAACTTGCACAGAGCACTTGCGCACTTGCGGAGAGCAACTTGCACAGACCAACTTGCACAGAGCACATGCGCAAAGCGCTTGCACGGAGCAACTGGCGCAGAGCAACTTGCTCAGAGCACTTGCGCAGAGCAACTTGCATAGAGCGCTTGCGTGCAGCAGCTTGCAGAGAGGAACTTGCGCGCAGCAGCCTGGAACGATGCAGCTTGCGCAGACCACTTTCGTGAGAAATCGCGCGGCGCAGTTCGTGCAAAGCACATTGCGCCAAGCAGACTCGCGCAGAGCCAACTTGCACAGAGCCAGTTGCGCAGAGCCACTCGCGAAAAGTAGCTTGCGTAGACCCAACTTTCACAGAGCCAAGCTGCGCAGAGCCATCTTGCACAGAGCTAAGTTGCGCGAGCGTGCTTTGCAGAAACTGTGGCCGTCGTGTAAGCTTTGCTATTGATTGCTCTTCCTTTTGCTTGTAATTCGTTTCGAGCTTTACGAGCTTTACTCTTCTTGTTTTAACGGATGTAAATATGTGGGATCGAGCACTGCCATGTTTCCTCTCGTAGGACGATGAGATGGAGCTCTCATGTGACCATACGCATTGAGCATCGCCGCGCGCGGACACGCTCGCCGCAGCGATGTAAAAAGGTGTCTCCGCGGCTGGATGAGCACCTGGGGAAAAATGCTTTCGGGCCAATCGTCCTCTAGTTTTTTTGTGGGTGGGTGGGTGGGTAACCGGAATAGGCCGACCGTTCTTTGGATGCTGGGTTTACCTTCATTTCCCTTGAAACCATCCAGACAAAGGTTGGGTCAGAGTGGAGCACGCTGCTTGAGGAACCATCGAGAGCCAGGCAACCCTTCAAATTTATGGCCTCACCTTTCTTGGAAACACCCTCATGAATCCGCCAAGTGAATGAATCCCGGGTGGACATTTGTGGGCGGGAGGGTAGACGATTTTGGACGTCTTGTTTTTGGACGACCCCTTGTTGGTGTGGTTTGAATGGCATCTTCTTGCCATGCTTGGAAAGGCAGCTCCCTTTTGGGGGTAGTTCAAGGCGAAGCCAAGATGAAACCAGCCCTTTTGGCTTTTGGGGGATGAACCTTTGGATGTGGTGTTCTGGTAAAAGATTAGGGCCTTGCAGGAGTCCATTGGTTCAAAGGGGTCCTTTTTATCAGGCTCTCTCTCTCTCTCTTTCTCTTTCTCTTTCTCTTTCTCTTTCTCTTTCTCTTTCTCTTTCTTTCGTAGGTGTCTCTTTGTGCACTTTTCTTTTTGGTCGCTATGTTTTCTCTCCTTTTTTGTTGTTTTTGTTTGTGTTGGGGGTGGGGGAGGGGGCTTCTCGGAGTTTGCGAGGCTTTCAGGCGGTGCTTCAGCCCCCCCTTCCCCCGGCGACGCTTTTCTCTTCACCGGCGAGCGCTCGGTGCGCCCAGGGCGCGGAGCACCAGCCCGTGGTCTTCATGACGCAGTTCGTCGCGGTGATCCGCCAGTCCAAGGCGCCGCGTCGGCGTCGACGCGTCGGCACATCGCGTCGCGCGCGGCGTTTTTGAAGCGAGGCGAAGGGGGCTCAAGAGCCTTTTTTTGCTTGGGGGGGGGTCAAGGGAAAAACGGGAAGGACGCCGGCTGAATTGGTTTTGTGTGTGGGGTGGGGGGCTGTTTTGAGAGACATTTTGGATTTTGAGTGGAGAAATTGGTTTGTAGGAGCGTGTCTTCTTTTGAGGCTCGGTGCCCTGTTGGGATGGTTTTAACCGGACACCAAAAGGAACCCACCTTTCTTTTTCCTCGGGGGGCAGGGGGGTTGTGCTTTGAGGCAGGTATCAAAACAGGGGGGGCAAGGCAAGCTGCAATCAGGTTGTTAGACGCCCAAGTTGGTTTGTATCCAATATACGGGGCGGTTTCCGCCCGAAAACTGGTGGATTCCCTTTGCTTTGCCCGTGCCAAGGCTCTCTCCCTTTTCAAGTCTTCCCTTTTTCTCTGGATGTTCTCTCTCGTTTTTTTTCTTCTGGGTCTTCCTTTTTTGACCCGCTAGTCTTCAGCTTCCCCGTCGTTGGTGGTTTAGATTGGTGGTTTGGGCGTTCAACCCCAGTCTCTTTTGACCCCAAACGAGGTGCCATTTAAGGTCCAAACCACCGAAGCAGACCGTTTTGTTGAGATGCATGCGGCTCGGCTGCCGGCTCGGCCTTGACCTCAGGCCAATCCTGACGCTGCGGACATGACGTATCATTGCGCCTGCTCCGCCCAGATGGCCCAGGGTTGTCGGAAGATGTTTTAGGTTACATTTGGGTTAGGGGTTGTTTGGTGGTAGCTTCTTGCGCCTTGCTTTTGTCCCCCACCCCCTTCTTTTGCTGGATGTCTTCTGGAAATTCAGGTGGTTGCTTGTCAGTGTTTGTTGAGTCCGGAGGCAACCTTGATGGGGGGTGTTTCCCCGACATGCTGACCCCGGCCTTAAGTAGAACCCGGCGATTTCTGTGTGGTGACTCCTTGAAGGTGCTTCGGGTCTTTCCTCACGGGGACACACGCCGCGAACAAAGCCAAGGGGTTAGTCGAGCCAAGTGGCCCTGGAGTACCTACCCACATGTGTCTTCAAGCAGGGGACCCGCAAAACTGTGGTGGTCCATTTAGTTCCTTTGAAACCTGTCCAAAAAGAGCACCGAGCCTCAAAAAAGACACCCAGATGGATATATGTGAAAGCCTAGTGGGCACAAAAAGACTAGAGGGCTTTTTGGATACCTACTCCAGGGACCAACCAGTTGGTTGCGTGGAAGACTGGGGTATGGTCCTTTGGGTTTCTCAAACATGGTTCCCCAAATTGGTTGTTTGTCTTGGATTGTCCTGAATACCAACCAACAACTGAGCATATGGCTTGTCGTGATTTCCCTTTCACAACCAAACGGGATATCATTCCTTTGGTCGCCCGGAATCATTTTGAGAGACGCGGATGTGTTTTTGCGCGTGCACGCGCCACTCAGGCCTTCACCTTTGCTTCCGTCACGCGGACCATGGGTGCGGCGCTGAAATCTAAAGGCAGATTCACCTTGGACTCTCCCTTTTTCCCCAACCAAAGCGAAGAGCGGGCCCATTTTGAGCATCATCCCCTGGGAATGGTTGAGACGTGGCCCGTCTTGAATTCGCGGGGGAGTAATTGCTTTGGTTCTGTTTCCCCAACATGTCTTTTTTAACCTTGGTTTCCCTTAAAGAAACCGACAACCAAAAGCTACCGAGCTTCAAGAACAAGATACCCCCGATTGAAGGGGGTTACCCTCCAAACAGGTTGGCGTAGTGGCAGTTGAAGGGAACCAGGAAGCCACCTGCATGTCCTCAAGCTTGAGATTCGCTATTCAATTCATAGCAACAGCCCCCTCAACTGAAAGAACTGTCTAGGAGAGTGGAACCAAATTAAGACGTGGACGAGACAGTGTCTTCACAGGTGTTGGGGACACAGCAAGTGCAAGAAGGGGCCAAAGGAGTTACCCTCCCACCAATTCGCATGGAACCTGAGGTTTGGGGGGGGGGTCCTGGTTTGGACCGTTTGCCTTGTAAAGGGACCGGGTCCCCGGCAGGTTCCATGTGACAAGGGTGGGAGGGTAGGCATCGAGTGGCCCACTGAGGCAGCGCCGAGTGGCCGTCTTTGAAGGCAAAGGGGCGGCGCACCGAGGTCGAGAGATGAGGTCGGAGCAAGTGACCTGCAAGCATAGGTGTCCTTTTTTTTAGGTGAGCCTGGTTAAAAATAGATGGGTTCCACTGGTTTAGATGGGTTTTGTTCCATTTACCAGGGTCATCTATTTTTCCAAAAGGCCACCTACGCCTGCAAGCTGTGGAGCTGTAGGGCCCCTTTGAAGCCTTTTAGCTTGTGACGCTTGTAGAGTCGACTGCATGTTTTGGCGGTGAATACTTTTGCATCGATGATAAGCAATCATGCAAAGGGCCCCAGAGAATGTCTCACTCGCGTAAATTAGGCATCAGACGGGGCACACATATATATATATATATATATGTACATATATATATATATACACATTATCTGTACATGTATGTATATACATGTGTATATATGTTCCAGGCCGTGGACCCCCCCCCCCCCCCCCTCCCCCCCCAACCCCCCCCCCGTGGGGGTGGGTGTGGGGTGGTGGTGGGGTGGTGGGGTGGTGGGGTGGTGGGGTGGTGGGGTGGTGGGGTGGTGGGGTGGTGGGGTGGTGGGGTGGTGGGGTGGTGGGTGGTGGGGTGGTTGTGTGGTTGGGGTGTGGTTCGGAGTTGGTTGAGGCTTGGTGGGTTGGTTCAGGGTTGGTTCAGGGTTGGTTCAGGGTTGGTTTTGCGGTGGGTTGGGGTTAAAGGGTGGTTTGGTTTAGGGTAGGATGTTGCGAGAGGTGCGGGGGTGTTGGTTCACGGGGTGAAAGGGGGTCTGGGACCGAAGCTGCAGGGCTCGCACGGTGCTGGACAGCATCCCCAGCATTGCCAGCATCATCCCCAAGATGCGGATGATGCGGGGGAGTGGGGGGACCATACCATTGGGGGGGGGGGGGGGGGAAAAATACATAAAACGGCACTTGAAAGAATAAAACCAAAAAATCAAACAGCATAAACACAAATCAGCAAAATTCACAGAAAACAAGATAAGAACCACCAAGCAACTCAAAAACCAGAACAACCCCCAACAAAATATTTAATCAAAGCATAAAACATTAAATAATTCAAACAAGCATACCAACAAAACAGCAAAAATAAAAACCATCAAAGAACACAAACTCAAAAACACACATCAACAAAAACAAAGCAACATACCAACAAAAAATATCAGAAGAGTATCAAACAAAATAAAATACAAACAGCCAAAGCACGAAAAAATCAAAAGAGCATACCAAGTTCAAACAACGCACTTTGAAAGAGTCAGCCAAATCAAGAAAAATAATATTTCAATCTTTACAAACTATAAGTACAGTATAATTATAACATATAAGATTTTACATGTTATTATTATAGTATGATTATAATTTCAGTACAGGATAATAATTTAATTGACAAATCTTTCTTCTTTCATACATCATTTTAAAAATAATATTAATATCTCTCAATGTATTTTGAATATTAAACTTTTTACTTTCAATAAATAATTTGATACTTTCTTTAACATCTTCTCCTTTCTCTTGACTATATCCCAACATCCATAATATATCATAAATCATTTCATATTTTTTCTTACTGATTTTAAGAAACTGTTTAACATAATCATAAGGTGGTATTTTATTTACAGTTAGAAATATTAAAATCTCATCTTCTACATTTCTATTATTTATTCTTTTTATTCCCATCAGACATTTGATTAATTCTTGATAATATCTCCAATTTCTACAATTTTTACATATGTCTTCTTCACCATCCATTGAATAATTAATAATATTATTCACTATTTCATTAGGTAAATTCAATTTATACAATTCCATATTTTCTTTTTTGAAGTGACAACAATCATAGCATTTTTTATTGATATAATTATTGATTTTATCACCGTTCATTTTCCTCTTATTATATTAAGGCACTATTTCTTTAAGTCATTTTTAAGGCATTAAGAAAAATAAGAAACAAACCATAAGTTCAATATAATTATAACATATAAGATTTTACATGTTATAATTATATTATGAGTTCAACTTATTAACTCAGCTATATAATGCTTCTTAATTATTTTCATTATTTTATCATCCGTCTTATCATTGTAAAAATATTATTTCCTATTGATTTTTCAAACCATCCCATTGTTCTAATTGCTATCACCATCATCCAATCCCACGATTCCCATCGTCCAATCCCACGATTCCCATCGGCCAATCCCACGATTCCCATCGTCCAAGCCCACGATTCCCATCGTCCAAGCCCACGATTCCCATCACCCAATCCCACGTTTCCCATCACCCAATCCCATGATGTCCATCGTCTAAGCCCTTAATTTACAATAATGAAATACCATTGAAACCCTTTGCTTTTGCAACAAGTCCAACACTGCCTGTTCCGCTAAACATCTCTAATAAGTTCATTATTAAAGATATTTAGATAATATTATCTATGAATAAAAATCCCTGTTTCCTCGTTAAAAACTAAACTATGTTTAGTTTTCAATGAGTAAATACAACTTTATGAATAAAGTTGCGTTTCCTCATCATAGTCAATTTGATAAAATGTCATAGTTGAAGCCTTCGGTTCTTTAATTTCTTTGTTATTAAGTTTGTTTAAATACACTTGTTTCTTATTTTTATATTCAGCATTGGTTCTATCTACTTCTTTACTTTGATAACTGTTTGTTAAATGGTTTCTTCTTTTCCATTTCTTGCAAGATTTCTAAAATATTCTTATTCTGTTCTAAAACCTTGTTCAGTTTTTTGACAATCTTTTCTAATCCTTCATCCATGTAAATATATATAATATTATAAAATAAAACTTTTAAAACTAAACTTTTATTTTACAAAATCATATATCATTATAAGTCAATTCAAAATTAGTTATTGTGTAACTCGTTAAATTATTATTCAATTTACCAATTAAATTACAAATAATAGTTTTTCTAAATTTTGATATTTATGAAACAATATTATTTGTAATATAAATTATTAAACATTTAATACATTCAAACACATTAACAACATTAATGTTACTATTTTTGTAAATATTATTCATTTTTCTCAATGTAATTTCATAAAACTGAATAGCATTTTTATTATCATAATTAGCAATAAATCTTAAAGTATATGAATATATTCTTTTACAATAGAATTTTAAATCTGATTGTTCAAATAAATCAGCATAATTAATAGAATTATAAAACATGTTAAAATCAATTTTGCTATTTCTAAAGTCATTAACAAAATTAATTAATATATCATTTTCGTTATATTCTTCAATAAAATTATTTAATTTCAAGTCTTTTACATCAATGAATTTAATAATATTATTTATAACATCTCGCATTATAAATAATAATAGAAATAATTTTAACTATTATTTTTTCATCATTTCGCGTATAGTTTCCTGTGTTTCCCTATCGCCATTCTCGGATGGAATAACCCCCCTCCCAAAGTGTATAGCAATATTATGAACATCTGTTTCCAGATTTATACTGTCTTTAGTTTTATCAATATTCATTTTCTTATCATTCTTACTTATTTTGAAACTGGTTGGAATAAACGAACATTTACAATGTCCTTTCTTTTGTATTTCTAATTCATTTTTTAATTCTAACATCTTTTTACACATTGGGCAAGCAAACTCAATAACCGATGTTTCTTTAACAATTTCTTCATCAGTCGAAGAAACAACTGGTTCAGTCTTGTTCTTTTTCTTTTTTCCCATTTATATTAATATTCACATTTTTATTTTTGATATATTGTATAACAAACTTAATTAATTCTAAAACAAAATAGCATACTTTCTTAAATCTATTATCAGTTATTAGTACTTGTTCTATATTCTCCATTTCATCTATTATATTAATATAATCTGTATAACTCTTTTTCATATTAAATAATAAGATAAAATAGTTATTTAATCTTATTATTTTCATGCATAATAGAATATTCGAGGGCTCAGCACTTGGGTTTTCATTGCACGCGAGAGAGATACAAACTAATTAGCTTCAATGCTTATTGATTGTAGCAATGGAAACCTGTTCCATTATGTTATTCACCGCCACTCATAACATAATGATGTTCCATTAATATTAAATAGAATATTTATTTAAACTATTTTCTTTAGTAAGTTTTACTGCAGTTGGTATACTAACATCTAGAATATTATTATCAATAACTTCTTGTACACTATTTATCATTTCATTTGTATACATATCGGGATAATCTTTCATAAAATTTACTAACTTTCTAAAATTAAAATCTAGGTTATTGTCATTTTCAATTGCGGACTTGGATACTACGATATTTTGTTTTTTAATCATCGATAAAAAGTATAACATTGTATCATAATATATTTGTTCAGTGTCGGGCACTAAGATATCACCAAATTTATATATCCTCCGAATACTAGCCACTTCACTTAAATTAATAGATTCTATTGCCATTGTGATATAATTATATTATATTTTTTATTTTCTAAATATCTTTAATATTATTTTATTATGCCTGATGTAAAACCAATTGATGAAATCAAATATGACTTTAAGCAAAGTAAGCATGAGGTCGTCCCTAAATTGCCGATGAGAGCTATGATCGTCGGTCCATCTGGAAGTGGAAAATCAACTTTACTTGTATCAATGATACTTGATATTTATAGAGGAGCATTTGAAAGAGTTTTTATCTGGTCCCCATCTGTAAATTTGGATAGTATTTGGTTGCCTGTCAAAAAATACATTAAAGAAGGTTTGAAAGTAGATAATGATAAAGAACCGTGTTGGTGGGATGAGTTCAATGTTGAAGATTTAGAAAGAGTTATAGAAACTCAAAATAAAATAATTGAATACCAGAAAAAACAAGGAACGAAGAAATTATTTAATATTTTGGTAATTTTGGATGATGTATCTGATAATCCAGCAATAACAAGAAATAACAAATTGTTAAATTCTTTATTTTGTAGAGGTCGTCATAGTGGAATATCAACACTTGTCAGTCTTCAAAAATCATCAACCGTACCACCAAT